TTGGTGCTGGGCAGAAACAGTACAACAAATTCTCTGCATTAATTTGATTTTGTTTCCTTCCTTGTGAATAGCTGGAATTAATTTTGAGAGTCAGGAGAGGAGAAGGTTAGGGTTTTTGAAAGATCGGCTTGATTCTAATAAGATTTAAGGGTAAGGGGTAAAGCTTGAAATGGTTTACCAGTGAGTTCATTCAGTGTTTCAGCTTTTTAAGTTTTTGAGCTTCTTCCCTAGCTAAAACCTTGGTAGTTTGCCACATTATCTTCACAAATTCAATTAAAAATAATAAACATGTTCATTTGCTGAGAGCAAGACAAAAACAGATACGCAGCTCTGTTGCTGGTGCATTCAGTTACATTCCCGTAATCCTTTGCTCGTGCATTATTGTGTAGTTGTTGTATACCCTGAGCGCTCGCTTCCCTACTGATGTCATTTTTAAGTCCAAATAATCTTCACGACAGGAGAGTCTGCATGTTTCGGCACCTGTTTCTTGGTCTATATCGGGAGTTTTGGTTACCTTACTAACTTCAGAATTCTTAGTGAAAAGCTGATTTTTATATTCAGTATTGTAGAAAGATCTCTGCACGTCCTGTCTCGGTGGGTCAGCAATTTTTGACAAATCATCATGTAGCAAATGGCATTGCTTTCATTTCATTACTCTGACTTAGTGGAGTTCTGTTGCTTACAGGTTTTTCCTTTTGCTTTTTGGCCACACAGGCTTTGCATAGATTATTACAGCTAGCTCTACAATGGTGGTGTACATAGGAAAATAACCTCTGTTGAATGATGTTAAGCTTAATACTCCTTGTAAGCCGTGCGTTCATCTAACTCTAATGTGAGTAAGTAAATTGTAAGCTCGAAAAGTGAGAGAATGAGCTCCATGTATGTACATTTATATCTCCTACATAGAGTTATAAGAAACTTCTGCTGAACATTCGTTGAACATCTTTATGGTAGAGCTTCGTTTTTAAAATCCATGCTACAAGCCGGAAATCAGATAGACTATTCAGCTGTTTGAGTGCATGCCTCAGTGTTACAACAGATGTTTTCAATTCTTCAGTATTATCTAAGCTTTCATGAGCTTTTTGTGGAGTATGTCGAATTTGTAACTGGCTACAGATCCATCAGTTGTCTTGCACGGAGTCAATTCTCACCAAGCTAAATAGGATTGATCTAGCCGACAGAATGGTAGTATCTGAGTTACCTATTTGCCACGTTCTTCACCCAGTTTGACTTGATTAGTGGAGGTGGATGGGTGGGTCAGGTTCACTATGTCTCTGCCTCAACTTGATTCTCGGTTCTTTTGAAGGTTACCCTCGCGCAATTTAAGCTGTGCTGTGACAGCAAGTTCTTGATTCAAGTTAACATTCAAGCAGCTAAGGAAAAGAAGTATTATCCTTAGTTCCATTTTACACACTATTCAATTATTCTTTACTCCTTAGAGGTCTAAATATAGTAATCATTATTTATTTTTAAATAATTATTTTTTAATTTTTTTTTTTTTTTAATTTTTAGCCTTTCTTATGCTTGGACCCAGGAAAATGGGACACTTGCTCCAACCAGCCAACGTGTTAGGTCCTGGCTGGCGGCTTTGGCCCTGCGCACAGCGATTGCAGCTCCACATTGTCAGATGTCTGTGCCTGCGTCCCTTTTGTTTTCATTATTTATTACTGTATTTGGTCGTCAACGTAGGCTGCTGATGGTCTCACTAATCTTCTAGCCTCACGCTAATCACCTTGACTTTCTCCATATCTAAGGCCGTTCTGTGGGCGTCTCTGGGGCTTTTCCTTACCTTCTGGTCTCCTGCCCCAGGCGTGTTAGAAGAAGTGCCGAGGTGTGTTGGCAGAGAGGGTGACTTCTCTGAAGGCCTGGCAGGTCAGCAGCCCCCCGCCTGCTGGCCTCTTGATTTTTCCAGCCTCTGGCACTCCATGCTTTTTCAGGTGGCTGTGAAAAGTGTAACTGACCCCAGACAGGAGATGTGAGGAAGCATCCTATGGCATCCTCTGCCCTACTGATTATTGCTTATTTTAGCATGGATGTGCACGCTGGTTTATGTTACTGCATGGCCACAAACAAATATACAGGTTAAATTCCACTAGTTATGTGCCTTGGTAATTTGATGTGTAACGCCCATACGTACAATCAGTATAAAAATCATAGAAATTTGGGCTGTCGGTTGCCAGATTTATTTCACAGTTTTTGATACAGCAAGCAGCTAAGCCCAGTGGATTTCTTAACTCCTCAAAATACAAGATTCCGCTGCTGAGTTTTCTATTTGTAAAAAGAAAGATGGAAACAGAGTGTCTGGGAAGTGGTAGGTGATGAGAGCAGAGTGGGGTCTGCCTCTTCTGGCAGTGGGTAGCTCACTTACAATGCAAAACTACTGCTGAAGTCTTTAGTTTTCTTTCATATCTTATCTCCACTGCTGGTGAGCACACTGTCTTGAAAGGTCCGTTGCTGCTTTTTTGACATTGCATAGCTCTTTTAACTTCATATGATAAATAAAAATGGTAGGCCATGTAAGCAATTGACATTCTTGTGTGCATTTAGAAGACACATTCAGCACAGATGTACAAAAGAAATGATACAGCCACACTCTGGTCTTCCAAAGCTATCAGAGAAATGATTCAAATAGATTTAATAGTTGATTGTTCTCCACATGTGGTAAATCATTTTTGGAAGTGGGGGGAACCAAAGGATTAAATCTTGAATATAGGTAACTAAATATTTTCTTTCTAAAATAGCTTTTCTAGAAAGTGATCACTTTTTTTGACAGAAAGCCTTCTTCACTTGCTCTTTTAGTTCAGCAAGTACAGAATGACTGAATTGCAAACATAATTTTTATTTTTAGCATTTCAGCTTGCTGACTGTATTTGTCAAGCTATACATGTATGTGATGTCTCTTCTGAATGAAAATCTCAGTATTTATAAACAGTGCTGATGACTAACAAAAGAAAGAGTGGGCATCTATGTTAAAACTTTCCCATTTGGATACAATTTTCTAAATATTTTTCCTGAGTATCCAGGTGTCTCCCTAAGACTGGGAAATAAAATTCCGGGACTGTGAACTGTATATTTCATTTTTATTTCATGTGGTCATATCCCTGCACTGTCTTCATGTTGACATGTTGCAGCTATACATTTCTGGTAAAAAAAAAAAAAAACAAAAACAAAACAAAACCAAAAAACCACAGAACTTTAAAGAAGTTTCTTTGCTAAATCAGTGGTTTTGCCAAGAAGAAACATTTCATATAGTTTTAGCTTGGGGGAAATAGTGACTGGGTTTTGTGCTTCTGACCTAAGAGTTATGAATGAAAATGCCTAGTTGAGCATGTAACTAGCAGAAAGTTAGGCTTAGAAGGGTGGTGACATAGCTGTTGTTTAATAATTTACCAGAGTAATTCATAACACTGGACACAATTAGCGATATTGTTAAACTCAGATTTCACAGTTCTTTTAAATAAATGCGTAGGTTAATGTGGAAGCAAAACACTTGGATGCTCATTCCTGTAAGATGCTGAGTTCCTCCTTCATTTCTTAGATTGCATGAGGACGTGGCATGGAAGGACACACAACCATCCCTTCCCAGTCCCTCAGTACACCATTGTAACGATTCCCACGGTCTGGTGGTTTAGGAAGGTTATTTACAGAACAACCAGACGTCAGTGCGTTTCTCAGAGGAGTAAATAATACTTAATAGCAGTGGGCAGGGGTGATTGGATGATTAATCCTTTTTGATCCAGTATGGTTTCGGGGGTTTTTTCTTGATATCCCCTAGTATGTTTCTATGAATCTGAACAGTGCTGCTTGTGATTGCATTGTGCATCCCCAGAAAACCTTCCATGTTGTATGATAAACTCATGCCGCTGGAGTAGCTCAGCCCCCTGAAAAGGTGGAGAGAAGGTCCTTTGGATAAAGAACTTGGGGCGCCAGATCCGTAATTTGTTATCGATGTGTTGTGTGCATTCTGAAAAATTGGACATTAGTAACCTTATAGTCTTTTAACATTAGTTGTTCTACCACTGATACTCGCAGCGTTCAGTCCTGAGAATACTATAACTGACTGGAAAGCAGTTCAGTGTAGGAAAAAAGTGCTAAAGAAAGTTAGTTAATTGTGAATTTGGTGACCTTATCCTCTCCCCTATGTGGAATGGTCTGGGGTCCTACAGTAGCAGCCTTTGCACGGATAGTCTGAGCCACTTCAAAAAGAGGTGAGAGAGGGGGAAAGAAGAGGATTCCATCTTGAAAACGAGGGATAAATTAGCACTCAGGAAGAGCCGTACCCAATTGCCGCGTCCTTTGAAGCACTGTGGGTGAGGCAATGCTGCTAGCTGAGTCATTCCCCCTGCTCTCATGGTCAAGCTAGTACTACCAAGATAGTAACTGACAGCTGGAAAAGCAGCTTCTGTTGGGGAAATTGAAATTGCTGTTTTGTTTTCCTCTGGGACTTTTTGAGTTGATAATGAAGGCCCTAGGTTTTTGCTTTGCTGGTACAAACCTGCTTATTTTTCACTTTTTAAATTTATCTAGTGTATGAATCAGTTCAGGTTAGGCTGGCAAGCACACGGTTTATTGCTTTTTTTGTAAATAGTAGGTTCATGCACGGTAATGTGTGTGTGCAGGCAGACTTCCAAGGGTACTTGAGAGGCGGCTGGGAACCCCAGTGATATATCCTGCCAGGCTTGTCGGGTCGGCGTGAGGGCTGATGCCTCCAGGTTCTCAGAAGCAGCCTGCTCTGACAGAGACAGATCAGTACGCTCCGATAAGGAACACGCAGTGGAGAAACAGCGAGCTGTTTGAAGAACGCCCCTGATCATGACACCACTTCGTAAAAGTCAGGAGAAGGTGAATTCCCTCCCACTGCGCGCTCCTCTCCTGCATGGCCTGTAATTTACATGGGTTCTTTTATGAAGAGCAGCGAAAGAAATGTCTTCAAAGCATCAAATGGTGCACAAAAATTACCATCTTGCTCAAGAAGTTTTTATTCTGTATTGCTGTTGTAGGTTAGGATGGTTATTCAGCTGGCTTCCTGCCTGGTGTCCCACATCACTGCTACACCTTAAAGAGGCTGAGGACAAAATGCTAAAATGTAAGTCTTCAGTTTTTAAATAAGATTTATAGATGTAGCTAGATTTTCTATAAATTTACATTAAATATAGTGAAAGAAGTTTTTAAATACAGCTTTTAGGCTGTGATGAAATAAACAGGTTTAGAAATAGATTTTCATTGTTCCCTTATTTAGATATTTGATTGTAGGCTCTCTCCTTTGAAAGGGAGCTCAGTGGTTTCCATAGAATGTACTTCATATTTTGTCAGGCATGTCTAGCAACATCATTTTTTCCTACTCTTTTTTCAGGTATTGCAAGCACATACAGTAAACGATATGTGTATATATCTAATGGAAATAAAATATGGACACTGACATTCTCTCCGGACCTTTCGCGCAAAACTCCACTTGTTCTCCTGCATGGGTTTGGAGGAGGTGTTGGACTGTGGGCTCTCAATTTTGAAGATCTCTGTGAGAACAGGACCGTTCACGCTCTCGACCTTTTGGGATTTGGACGTAGCAGTAGACCACACTTTGACACTGATGCTCGGGAAGCGGAAAATCAGTTTGTGGAATCCATAGAAGAATGGAGAAAGGAGGTGGGGCTAGAAAAAATGATTTTACTTGGACACAATCTAGGTGGATTCCTGGCTGCTGCTTACTCACTGAAATACCCATCAAGGTATGTGAAAATAAGGGAATGAAGGAATTCCTCTTCTGTATTTGACTAGTGATTTTGACACAGATTTTATTTCATCAGGCTCTTTATGGATTATCTTTAAATAAATGACTGCTGATTTAAAGAAACTTGATACTGAATTTTAAGCCCGAAGTATTAATTGTATGGTTTGTTTCCAGGTGAATAGAAATAAGTAGACATGGTAATCATGCTTTTTTGTGTACTTTTCTGTACCTCTTTTTGTTCAGTACCCGCTTGCCATGTTATAAGGTGAAATAGCAAAGATCACATTTATGAGTGAACGTTTTCTGACATCTCTGATCAAACGTAGGTTTGTGAAGGGAAAATAGGCCTGTTTCTGCCAAACTTCCCATTATTATGGATAATATTGAAACTTCTGAATGTAATTCCCCTAGGTAATTTATGCCTATATGCTAGCAGTCAGCATGGTGCCAGCATGATGATGTAAAAATGATTTTAGTGACTGACTGATTTAAATTGTCTCTATGCCACTTCATATTTCTTCTTTGCAAAACAACCCAGCTGCAGCAGCCCTGTAATTGTATTTCATCAGCATTTTCTGCACCACATTGTGGCCAACAGCTAATCCATGTTTTTTTCCTTAAACTAATGATTTCTCTCTTTTTTTGATATAGTCTGGTTATATAGCCCCTGGTGAGCTAGGATTCCACGAACTGAGGTCATTCTGTATCAAAAAAAGACATGGCTTTTGTTTAGATACACATAGTAGACTTCTGTGAAAAACTGAGTATCAGTTTAGCTTTCCGCATCATATGGCAGATTCTATAGTATACAAATCGCATCTTATTCTTTTATATTCACATCAATTTATACTATATACATTTCTCTGTCTCTCATTTGGAGATTTTGACATAAATCCACACATCGTTTTTTCCTAAAACACTTTGCCTCTTTCTTTCCCAAGTGGGTGACAGCTGGCACATGCTTCTGGAAATGATGTGTGAAAGTAGGTGTTTGTCTAAATCCAGAACTGCAATGAAGAAATGCAATCCTCTGCTCTAGGGATGTAAACCCGTTATCGTTTCGAGCATAAAGCAACTTTTAGCTAACTGTAGTTAGTTTCTTAGAGGGATCACTTAGAAGTTCCTTACCCCTTTTTCTGAAGTATCTATAAATGCCACTGTCCTATCCCTGTGGGATGGGATATTGTTTCTGCCCCGTGCTGACTTAATCAAAAGTGACGCTTTGTTTTCATGCCTCCCTGTACTTAAGCTGGGGTTAATTAATTTGGGGGGGTGTCAGTTTGTGCTCTCACATTACTAATGTTTCTCTGAAATTAAACTAACACCATCAAATTAGCAAATTGACTGGTAGGATCTTAAGACAGCATTGAATCAAGTGATAAATATAGCACAGCTTTCAGCCAGGTTATCTAACAATGCATTAGAGGCTTAAGGGATTCTGGATACATATTGTTAGGAAAGTAGATCTGCTTCTTGAAGCTTGGATGATCTGTTAATTTACTACATTGTACCATAGTTGTTCGTGGGACATCTGAGGTTACTAATCCAAAAAGATTCCCGTTTAGAATATTCCCGGGTGGTAGCGGGTCATGATTTTCAAATACTGCAACTTCTGGACTATTACTTTTGGAATTATTCTCATGGTCAACTTCCTGTTATCCTGGGTTATCTTTTAGGCTTGATGACCAAAAGGAGAAATGCCAAATAGGAAGAAAAGTATTAAGAAAGGAAACATGAAAAAAAGCTTACTCTGTTTTTAACTGTGTGTTTGCTGTGTTACGTTTAATGCCGTAGTTTGTGCACAGAACGTGTGGCTGTCCTGAACAGCTCCTCGTTGCTTGCACTCCTTAGCCTCTACTCTCTCCTGCGTGGTTTGTATAGTTAAATTCTACCCTGTCCTCTCTTATCGTTGGTGTTTGCTGCTGTGTGCAAATATGCTCGTGGCTGAGCTGACAGCCAAGAAACATCTTCGTGAGGTAAATCCTTTTCAGCCCCTCGTTTCAAGCACAGATTTTTGGTTTCCCGACTGATTATAGTCCAGAAATAGCCTTTGGAGTCACTTCTGACCATGTTTTAGGCACTAAGAGCTTTCCTGTATTAAATATCTAATCTCATGGCTTTGAAAGAGAAGGAAGTCATGAAGAAGAAAGTAAAGATGATGAAGCTTGCATGGAAAATCACCTTAAATATGCAAAAATGTAGTTAAAAGTCACTTTTTCAGAAATCGGCAGTATCTAGGGCAGTTAGAGTAGGTGTTATTATGGGATTAAACAGAAATGGACAATTCCAATCTACCAAGATGAAATAGATTTTTTGCTTGAGGGGGACTCGCAGCATGAAGGGATTGATAGCGGCATGTGCTGGAGACTCCTACTATGCTCTCTGTACTAAGATTCCTTTGAGTAATAATTTTATAAATTGTCTCTCTGACGTTTCTTTCATGACCTAAAATCAATAAATTTAGAAAACATCTGCTAATTTTGCTCTTCCTCCCTCAGTTCAAATTTTACTTTGATAACATGATTTTTCAGATAAATTGCATGTCTTCTTAGAACAGAGATCGTAGATGGCTTGAAGAAGAAAGACACTTAGCAAGTTTACTTAAATGAAACAGATGTGATTATCTTCTTTTCTCTCAAACTAAACTGTTCCTGCAAATAGTATTGACTGAGCATATAGATTAGGCTATTTTTAAAAACAGAAACAAGACTGGCCTTTTTCTCAAATGTGTATGACAGTGGGTATCTATTGAATATTGAGTTTCTCTTTGTGACATGAGCATCCAAGTTTCTGGTGTTCATACACATGATTAGTTGCAATTCAGTCTCTCTGTAATTACCAATCGAAAGCAAAACCATTGATGAATCAGAAACTAGGTAATAAGCCACTATGATAGAAGTGACTAAAACAGGCTGCATAGTCCACAGATAGTACATTCCTGTCAGTCAAAGAAAAATTAATGTACTCTAAACCTCTGAACCTTTTTTGCCAACAGGGTCAAACATCTTATCTTAGTGGAGCCATGGGGTTTTCCAGAGAGGCCTGACAATGCTGAACACGAAAGACCAATTCCAATCTGGATCAAAGCACTAGGAGCTATATTGAGTCCATTTAATCCATTAGCTGGGCTAAGGATAGCAGGACCCTTTGGTGAGTTTTAGCTACTCTTAAATACCATTTCTGTTTTTGTTAAACATAAACATGGGGCAGATAGCACATTAAGATAAGCTTTGTTGCAAGCCCATATCACCCACAGAGAAAAGAGTTGGAGGAGAAAGTGGGAGGGGGTGAGGAAAGATGAACTCTTTAGGACAGGAGGACAAGCTCTTTCTATTAGAAATACTAGTACGATAGTTTATAGAAAGCTATTGTATTATTCTAGGCTACAGTTATAATGAGTCAGATTATGTGGACATCTGTTGGGGAAGCCTGACAATGAGGCATGAATGTGAAAAGGTTTTTTTCTGGTTGCCTCCGGTCACAGTCCATTTAGTTTCCCTTGCAACGGCAGTTTGATGGACAAACAGGATTTCCAAATTTGGTTACTATTAGAAGGCAGTCTCCCATAAACTCATTTGTCTCTGGCCTGAGTTTAGAGAAGTTAAATTGAAACTGCGTTCTTTCCAGTAGGCATTTTCTTATTACTCTAGCAAATTTTGTGGGTCTCGCTGGTGTCCTGCGTTACAGTGGCAGACTGTCCTTCATATTTCTACGTTTCTTCAACAGCACTGATAAGATGTTAGACGAACTCTATGTACCCTAATGCTAAGACTAGGTAGGGATGACCAAAAATACTACCATTTTAGTTTATGTCGGAAGTGGGGAGAAGGGTGTGACCAAGTCTTAAACTCATCCTATGTATGCCTTCTAGAGGGGAAAGAGGTTATGTGTCTATTACTCTCTGTACTACAGGAGTATCTGGTGGAGGGGCTTGGAAGAAGATATCCTTCAGGCCCCTCACAAGTTACAATTAATTCACCTCTTCATCATTTTTAGTATTCAGCCTGAAGAAAAACTAGTGGCATTTCTAGGCTTTGTTTACATTTAAACCACATCTGTTTCCTAAATCTCTTTCTATAGAGTATATATTTTAATATGCTGATCTATTTGATTGTTTTCAGGAGCGTGACAAAATTAGCTTTTCAGACAAGCAACATGTTTTGTACAAACAGTTTTGGTGGGTTTTTTTTTTTAAGTAAAATGCTGATTCGGTTAACAAAACAACCTGAAGCATATTGAGTGATAAGCACTGATTTCATGCCTTGTATCCAATAAGAAATACATGCATAAATCAATCCATGTGGAAGCGTTCGAAGTTGAAGTTGTCTCCCTTAGCAAGTAAGTGCAGTCAAAACCATGCTGCAGAAACAGACCCTGTCTTGGCAAGGTATCCCCAACCTAGCCTCGCTTATAGGTTGCTGTGGAGGGCAGTGCTTTTCAAAATTTTTCATCCATTTCTCACTCCACATGTTAAAAAAAGTTTTCCGTCATCACCTTAATGAGCAATTCTTGACAGGTGAAGCATAGTTCTTAGAGAAGGGTAAGTTTAAACACTGTGCATCAAACCCAGCCTGGTGAAGGCACTGCACCAAACCCAGGTTTCCTTCTACGTGCACATGTGCTTAAGCTGCTGGGCAGACGTAGCTGTCTGATCCTCACTATAAAGCTAATTGCTCTTGTTCAAAGGTATGAGTTAGGCACTTAAATGTGTGCCAGGTTCTTTGGGATATCACGACGGTATCACATGGATATTTAATTAGACCTGCAGGCAGATACTTAAAACCTGGGAGAGAGACAGAATCCAGAGAGATCTTTTTCTTGAGTGGTTTCCAGTTAGTTGATTTGCATGTTTTCCTTCACTTAACTGGAACAGTGACCCAGGAGGCTCACAGTATAGGAGTTTCGGTGCTTAGATTGGATTTGTGAATTCCATTCCTAAAACTGAATGCCTAAAAATTCCTCAGTAATGCCACTGTGACCACACCCTTTTTGTGGAACTCAGTCTTCGATGTTAGTATTTCTTTTAGCATTTCCATAGATACTATGGAAAACATCAGTCAGACAATTGAGGGTGTCTTCAGTAAACATTATGAGAATGAACCAGTGTGATTTCTTTCCAAAATTTGTTCCAAGGTGCCTTGGCTCCTTGTTTCATTCTCCCTTGTAAATTTCCAGGGAAGGACAGTTTTGCGATTGGACTCACAGACAAAACACTTTTCATCAAAACAGAAAGTGAATTCTAAAATTCGGTAACTTTCAGTCCCCTAGTTATTGGAAATGGGGATGCTGTGGCCTCCATGCTGATAGCAGGGGAAGACACAGAATTAGTCTCTTTCTTCCAGATACTCTTATTCCAAGCCAGCTGTATCGTTGTGTTCAAAAAAACCCCAAAGAGACAGACAGAAAAAGACAGAAGTCCAGCAACTGAACTCTCTATAGAGAAAATACAAGCAGCAGAGCAAATTGCAGAATGTTTGCAAAATCTTCATTGCTTCAGGACTTAAATCGCTGTTTCATAGGGAAATTATTTTCTCTTGCACAGTGTTGGTTTTCTAAATTGATTTAAAGCATACATAAGGGCATGTTGCAATAGTCTAATCTCAAGGTTACAAAAGCATAGATCACTGTGACAAAGTCTACATAAATAGTACCAGGCCTTTGGCCAGGGTCAGGTGGGAAGAAGTGACATCATCATAATTGCACAGATTAACAACAGTATTTTCAGTTGATAAACCCAAGTGGTAAACTGCGAGCCTCTCTCTTCAAGGATGAATAATATTCTTAGGCTAAGATTAGCCTTTGGTGAGGCTCTTGTCCCAAAGATCCGTCTGGTCAACTAGAAGAGGCTTCTTCCTTAAAGAAGTGATTCAGAATAGGAGCTTAACTTCAGGAAGCCTGAACTGGCCCCTGAAGGGACCCGCTTCTCTACTTTGGCTGTTGAGAGAGCATGGGAACAATAGCTTTCCTAGGTTAAATCTCTTCATTTATACCAGTTCTTGTGTCTTATACTCATGTCAAGATTTCTGCACCTGTTTTTCAGCAGAGACTTCTGTTCTTTCAACTAAACACTAGTTAGATGAACTAGCTTCACAAGAAGACTGTTCTGTAAAAGGAGAGCACAGACTTCTCTAAGGAAGAAAAACAGCCCAGCTTTTTCAACAGTGCCTTCTGGTTCTGAAAGGCGGGATGCTTTTGGCCTGCCCAGTGCTGCCACAGCAAGGATAAGAGAGTGTTGGTATCATGTGACACTAAACGGGTGGCAAAAAGATACTCTGCTTAGCCCTTTTTCTGGTCCCCTTTGCATGTTTCTTCTATTGCTGCAGTGGCCCTTCTCAAACATTCCCCGTATGTATTCAGCAGAGATTGAATGCCCCTCTTCTGGTGCAGCAGAAAATCCTTCAGAATATTTGTGTTCCATTCCTACTTGGTGTAATGCCATCATGTTTTCCTAAGACCTGGAAGTGGTGAAACAAAACATTGGTTTAGAAGTCATCAAGCTTAGCCACGAGTTTCAAGGGAACGTGTTTGGAGGGTTGTAATGAAAAGCGTTAGGCAATCTGATAAAGTTGTCTATACTAATTCCTCCTCTAATAGTGTTCTCTATTTTAACAGGATTAAGCCTTGTTCAGCGTTTAAGACCAGATTTCAAGCGAAAATACTCATCAATGTTTGATGATAACACTGTGGCTGAATATATCTATCACTGCAACGTACAGTCACCCAGGTGAGTATGAGTTTTCCAGTGTATGTTTTGAAGTCTGTCTTTCGTTTACTGAGTGCCTGCTACTCCCTCCAATGGCTATGGCAAGAGTGTGCATGCTTTTTTTTTTTTTTTTTTTTTTTAAATTGTAACATTTATTGTATATTAATTGAAGAAAAAAACAGCATTGCACTTTTTCTGAATTCCAGAAACTGATAAATGTAAAAGCTATCCTAATTCTATGTTGCTTCTAAATGACCTGTGTGTTAATTCTGAGAGAGTTTGGGCACTAATTCTTAATAAAAAAAATTGTTACAATGGTTTAATTTGTAAAGAATTTCTTAAAAAAAACTTCAAAAATAAGGCATTTCATTCTTTTAAGTGTTATCACTCGGTACTGTAAAAACATAAGCTCTTTCTGTTGAAAATTACATGCAAACCCTGGATTTTTTAATAGTAAGAAATTCCAGCCTCATATGCTGTTGCACTCTGTGTTATCAAAAGGCACAGATACTCCAATTTAGAGAAAAGGCAGATCCAATGGAAATTTAATTGTTTTTACCCTTTTAAATGACTTGAAGTGGTGAAACAGCTTTCAAGAACATGACTATTCCTTACGGATGGGCAAAAAGGCCGATGCTGCAACGGATTCCACAGATGGATGGAGACATTCCTATCACTGTGGTCTATGGAGCACGTTCATGTATAGATGGCAATTCTGGCAGCACTATCCAGTCTCTGAGACCAAACTCATATGTGAAGACAATAGTAAGTGGACTTCTAAAGAAGTTGTTTGTTTATTGTGTGGATTTGTTTAAATCATATCTATGTTTTTTATATCAACTGTGGAAACGCTGGCCCTTTGATTTAAAGCCTGGGGTAATAACTTCTGATTTCTGTAACAGAGAGAGAGAAAACAAGCGTTAGATCAGAGAAAACCTAGGCAAAAAAGTATTGAGTTCCCAGAGTAAGAAGGAAATTTACTGTAGCACTAGAAGCTGAATTAAATCTTTGAGCAAGGTCATTCTTCTGCTCCTACAAAATATTTTGCTCTACAATGTGCTAATACAAGTATTTTTTGTGGGCACTGGTAAGTATCTGGGGGTTTGTCTGTGTTTTAAACCACAGCAGTCCTAACATCTGCATATATGTATGACATAGTGAGGAGGAGGAGGCTGTATAACGTATAACTGTATAACATTTTTGTTTCTCTGAGTGTTTCTCTTTGTTTCCAAGAGAGTGTTTTGTACCTGGTGCTTAAGTTCTTGTAAGCATCTTTCTTTAAGTCATTAAAAAAATACTTAGTGTTGTCTTCCTAGCTAATACATTCTTGTTTAGAGGTACAGCATTCATTTAAAATGTGTGTACTGGCAACTTGATGCAAATGCGCACGCTGCATTTTTTGTTGATTTCTATAAAAACAAATGAATTTAAAAGTATTCTTCACACATTGTCACATCAGTCAGCCGTGATAATTGAATACGCATATATGTTACAATGCTATGAGGTGATAAAATGTTTGAATACACCAGCTGTCTTCTTACTGATGTCTAGATCTATCTGGATGGAAGCGTACAATACGTGATGTCGATAGCGTACTACGACAAGTCATTCAGATAAAATTTTATAATCTCGATATAACTGACATCAGAGCTGGAACTCAGAGAAAAGACATTATTATTGAACTGCTTACATGTGTTAAAGAGCACAAATACGTTTCATAAATGTTGACATCCAGACTGAAAGTGTCACTTAACTGCTTAACCAGAGAGAAAGTTGTAACAAAAAGTCACTGTTAAGAAGCGTACAATAGATTGCTAGGATAAGTGTATACCATTCAGGCAGATGTTTCCAGTCTGGTCAATGGCCTTTAGAAGGGACTTTATTGTATTCCAGGCTAAAATTTTGTCAAGCCAAATACAGATTCTAAAAGGTAAATTGGAGTGGTAGAAATTATAGGGAGGTTGAAAAAAAACATAGGAGGGAAAGGGTTCTCATGAGGCTGAGACATGGGCTGGCAGTGCCATCCTTGGTAAAATGCACAGAGGTTCTGGGGTTTTATTATGTGGGTTTATTTCTAATTAATTTTTACTTTGAGTTTGTGTGGTTTTTTAACACAACAACATAGTTATACTTTTATGGGCTTCAATTAGACACTTAAGAGGGAGTGTTTTAATGGAGGGAGGGGAAAAATAGATTTAAATACAAATTAATCTTGGACTGGCTATAAAATGGAAAGAAAATAGGTCAAGTACCTTTGCTGTACGCTATGATGATGACTTGCTTTGTACCAGTTTTGGCAGAGAATGAGAAATCAGAGAAATAGGGTAACCACCCAGTGTGTGGCTGATTAAGCCCTTAATTTTGTTGCATAGTTGCTGTGAAATAATCCAGGTCACAAATGTGGGGTTTTCCCCCCATACATTGCATCACTTGGATTTTACTTGTCCCTGCTTGACACAGTAGTCGTTAATTCGGAGGGCTGAAATCTGCTTCCACAAGCCTAGAAAATCCCGAGCAATTTAAGCTTCCGAGTTCTTCCATCATTTATCCTAGCACCTTCTTTAGTCTCCTCCATATCATTTTTATAATAAGAGAATACAAATGATTTAAGGCTCTCTCTAACGCACTTACAGAACTAAACATTTACACTCAAACATTTACAGACAAACTTAACACAGAACTAGAGAGCAGCCTGGCAGAGCTATCTGAGTGGAGAACGAAGGGGATGAAGATGAATCAGAAGTTTGATATGTAAAGCACGTTCTCCTAAGTTTGTTTGGCAGTGACTTGTGTTCACTTGAATGGTGGTTTTTTTTCAACAAGGTGTGCAGTGGAATAAGCAGTAGTTTCACTCTCTTTTCCTGTGTAGCAAAGTTCCTTCAAGAGGGGATGCAGGCTTTCGTTTTTCCTTATGTTTCCCGTCCTCCTTAGGCTGTATGATCCCAGCTCCTCGCAGCAGTTGTGCTGACTGCATTAGCACAGGCTGGGTGCAAGAGATCAGTTCCAGTTTTGAAATTTGTCTTTTCAAGGAATAATGTGTCAAAGTCAGGTTCTTCACGTATCCCAGTATTTATTTATTTGTTTATTACATCCTTGTGATTTTGACCTGTTTCTTCACCTTTATCCTCTAGGCTATCCTTGGTGCAGGTCATTATGTGTATGCTGATCAACCTGAAGACTTCAATCAGAAAGTGAAAGATATCTGTGATTCTGTGGACTGACTGTCTTCTGTTCTTTAGAAAGTCATACCGTAGATAGCATTTAATAGCAATACTCTCTAGGAAATCACTAAGGAATGCGGAGCTAATGGAACAGGCTCTGTTTGCACACTGTTTCTTCTAAGAAGCCATTTGCAAACTTAAACCACTTAGTGCCTTTTTGGGGGGTATAGGGAGATTTGAAGCAAACAGCTTTGTTTGAGATTGGTCTTTAGATTATTCGCCTGTTATATATGAAATTACATATAACTTTTTAAACTGGAATTTTCTTCAAAATGTAATTGAATTTTGCACATGTTGAACTTCTAAAGATGCTGAATTCTCCCCTAACACAGAGAACTGTATTGATATAGATACAATGTATAAAATGCAATTTGGTTTCTTTATAAAAGTTCATATTTTTTAATTTATGTTTCATATCAAGAATATGAAATTGCTTATACATTTTATTTTTGGAATTCAGAATGCCATATACAATATTTCAAGAGGGTGTATTTTTTTTTTTAACTGGAGTAATAACAGCTTATGAAGCTGATTTTCGGAGGGAGACAGGGTCAAAATAACAAGCAGTGTCTGTCACAGATATATGTGTGTTAGTTTGTAAGGAATTAGGGCTCAATATTAGGTAATCTTTCTTCTGTTGGATTTTGTTTCCATTTATCTCAAGGCATCTTTCTCCATCTGTGCAACTTTTACGGAAGGCTCGGTTTCTAAGAGTCGATGATGTCACCAGCACTCATGCTTCCATAAATATTTTGATATGTAGATTTCAGTGATTTAAAATACAGAAGACGTTAGTTACTCCATCTATTTTTAACACTTTACTGCAAGATTTGTTACTAGCCTAAACCTAACAATTGTAGCTAAGCTGACAAGATTTTGATCAGGGCTAGGGAATAGCCATCTGGATAGTGAGCACAATTCCCTTTTTCTTTAGGTAGAAAACCTAGTCCGTTTTTTAGTAAATTCAGGGTGGAGGAGAGGCAGAGGGAGAATACTGATGTTCTCTAATTGGGAACTACAGTGGGTTAGTGTATTTTAGTTAACACGCAGCCTCCTTATAAGTAGGATTATTACTGGAATGAACAATACCACTGTAATAAATTATAATTCTATTTCTTGGAGATTCTTTTTATAATTATATATTTTAATTGAATATTTCAGTATCAGAGAGAATCCAGTCTCTGCATCTTTTTGAAATTGTAGTTTGATGTTAGTTCTTCACATGCTTAGTAAGTTATATTAAGCAAAATACTTTGTCACTTTAAAGCCAAATTATGTGGTGGTTTGTTTTTTACCAAGTTTACATAAAACTGTTGATCTGTTTTTGAATATTAAATTGACTACTGAAGAGTTCTTGATACTTTTATACGTAGAGAATTTGAATTCATGATAGCACCGTCTTAAAACTTGAGAGGAATTCTGTGCGTTTTTTTCTCAAATTAAGGAACTGTTGCACATATTTATGATGTGGAAGGCAAAGAGACCTAAAATATTCAGTAAATACTCTGATTATGTTCCCAGCCGAACATAATCTCTCTCTTTCTGAAGGAGATATTTATCTATATGGTGCTACGTGAACATCAAACAGTCTTTGTTACTGCCTTGACTGGTAGCACTTAATCTTTAGCTTGTGAGATATTAACAAGCTAAAGATTTTAATTAAAATTAACTATGAAATTACTCTTTCAATTAGCAGATGCTAGAATTTTTAAACAAAATTTTGGGTTATTTGCTAAAATCTTGTGTTCAAAATGGAAAATCAGTATATCAATTATATTTTTGAATATAAGCTATAAATTATCAGTCATGCCACCATTTAGGTGGATGCCTTCAGTATGTGTTTTTTGCACCCTTTTCAGTGTCTAATTTGTATTTATCAATTTAAACAGCTGTTTTAATAGTGTGTAAAAACCTAATGCAAAAAAATATTCTCAGTCTCCTCCAAATAACAAAAGGTGAAACAAACCATTGGTGTTTTCAGGTAGCACTTACTGATGGGAATTCTAGATTCCATATCAAAAGATGGAAGTAGGGATAAAAATTGTACACTGAATGAGAATATTGTTTTTAATATCCCTTGCTTTTTCAGCTTATTGTACTAATAAGACTTACTGATTAAGTTTTGCACAATAAAAAAAAAATCAAATGTTATGTTTGATTAATGTTAAGACATGATGTTGCTTTTGTAAAAATTGTGTGTAATTAAGCCCTGGAAATCAAAAGTAATTAGTAAGTTGAGCTAAACCATCCAAAATACATGAAAAATACAGTAATGCTTATTTTCAAATGTCTCAATGTTCTTAGGTTTTCTTGTATTTAACTGAAACTGGTAAGCATTTGTCAACAAGTAGCTGCAAGCTCAGACTGCTGACTGTATATACAAAGATGATGTTTTGTTGGTTATCTTCCAGGCAGTATTAGATACGGCTGTGAAGGTCAAGATGGAATTTTGAATATCCTATTGTGTGCAACATAACCCCATAAAGTTACTTTAATAAACATCCTAAGAGGTGCTGAACAGAAAATGAATGGCAACATACTGGAAAGACTTGGGAGCTAGACGTTTTGTGAACAATTACTGTCTAGGAATAAGCTCAGTTTCTCCAGAAGTTCTGCTTCAGTGCAATTACCAGGTTCTTAAATGTACTGCGGCGAGCACCGAACACTGATGGTGCTATTTTTATTACAGCGCTATGAAATAAGACAAGAATCACAGGCATAAACGCACCCGAAGTTCTAGCATCAAAATGAAGACAGCTTTGTACCAGAGGCCTAGGGCATAACAAAAAGAATCCAAAATATTAATAGAATCCAAAATATTAATAAAATCCAAGATTAACCGTCTAAGTCTCCAGGACACGCTCCTCTTCCTGAGGTTGTTGTGATAAAATTTTATTAAAGTAACTTAGTAATATTTTGTTTGCATGGCAGAGTTCATCTTGTTACTTATTGAACCCTGCCAGATTAGATTTTAGTGCTGAAAAACTGATTTTAAGAGAAGTAATTTATTGATAAGACTCTATAATAAAACATTCACAACCATCACAAAAAAGATCCTCGTTTGTATCTGATTGTGAAGTGGAAAGGGAGAATGTGAACTCTTAGGCGTTGAGCTTGGAAAAATGGGTCCAAACAGGAGAAATGCTGTCATCTGGTTTCACTCGAATTTAACCAATGCTGGCATTTCTTTTTAAACTTTGTCTTTTTTTAACTTTTTGTCTTTGTCTTTGCTACAACTGTTCGTGCTGAACTGATGTGACAGTCTCTGTCTGAAATGCTCTCTGTGGTCCGTTGCGGTTCCTCAAATTCCCAGCCCTTCCAGATCACAGTTATTGAGCAAGACAAGATTATATACAATAAAACCACCTGGAATCAATGTATAGGCAGACATACTCGGGATTGCCTATTTTGCTAGCATTCATTAAAATGGGAGCCTCCAGAGGCCTAAGGCTATTAGTCAACTGCTGTTTAAGTGGGTAATTTCTTAGGGCTCCTCCAACTTTCTGTCGTTTCTTTGGGCTCAAGTTGGCCTGTTCACCGTCAGCCTGTCCTGCAACGTTTAAGCATGGCAGCACACCCAAGTTGCCAGAAGCCTTCACCTGGGCATTTCTTTTGTAGGAAACACACGTGAAACTTGTCAAAGGGTAAGCCACTAAAGGTAACTAGAGAGAGAGAGATGTTTCAGAGGGACTAGTGAGCTCAGATCAAGACACGGTGGTGTGCGGCAGCTGCTTTCTGGTAATGGTGGCAGTAGGTGAAAATGGTTGGAGGCTTCAGGTTTTTCAGGCAGGTGATGGATGAACCAGTGCATAGAGCAGAGGCACATAACTGGAATGACGACATACGCCACAAGGAACAGCAAGAGCTAGAAATAAATTGCGCAGCTGAAAACGGCAAAATTCAGCTGAAGAGCGGGGGGGTGAACATTTGCTTCAAGAGCTGGTTCAGCTCTGGGTGAGGATAAGGGAAATGGTGAGGGGAGGCTCAGGGGTGCCTCGAGGATAGAGCGAGCGAGGGCTGGCAACCAAGTTGAGAGAAGAACCTGGCTGATGTGCCTGGGGTAGGTGTGAAGGTCTGGGCTAGGGCAGAAGGTAGCCTGCTGCCGAAGGAGCACCTGCAAGGAGGCCACAAAGCCCTGGGTGGACAGCATTTGTAATCCAGTTAAGTGCTAAACTGAAGTATCTTCTCGTATAATTAATTCCTCATTGCCTCCCTAAAACACTGAATCTTTGTCTTAGCTATAGCTTTCTCTCTAGGTGCTGGAGCTAGGCAGCAAGCTAATGTTTACATCTCCAAGCTCCCTTCTGCTCAGTGTTACATGGGCTAGCTAAGGCTGCCCTGCCATAACACAGCTTACCGAGGTAAGGAGGATGCCTGCTGCACCGGCTTGAGGGAATACTGTCTGGCAAGCTGGGACCTTACGGTATGTGGGGCACTGTCAAGTTTTGGTGTCCCTCCTTTGACTAAAGCTTGTCCTCCGAATGCAAGTGCTGTTTCACAAGCTGGACACCATTGCCTCAGACTGGTACTCAGATGGGAAACATTTAAAGAATGGCTGTCTCCTGCAGTGCCCAAGAAATCTTGAGAAACGGTATTCTCACAAGTCAAAAATGAGCATGAGGCAGGGGGGACACCGGCCTGCCTGAGGTAAGATGAAAAATCAAGACGTACAACAAGACTTGTCACTAAAGATCACAAATCTATCTTTTACAGGCGGAGTGGCTATATTGCATTTTGTCTCATTGTGTTTTGATCACAGGAATATCCTACCTTAAAATTTGGACGTGGTCAGCAGAATGTAGAAATATAAAATACGGAAACATTTGTCACATGTATTTTAAAAATAAGAAACACAAGTAGCAGGAA